GTCAAAAGCTTGCCTGAAAAATTGATAAAACATATCAAGGTTGAGATATGTAATTATTAAATAAGTAAAATTAATCTAATCATGGTGGAGCAAGTAAATATGATAATTCATGCTTCATTTCACATTCAGAACATGAAATAGCTAAAGTAAAAAAAAGGCTTGGGCATAATCGTTTCTTTCTGTTCGTTACTTTGGTTCCAGCTTGTTCACAATGAATCAGCCACATTATTGTGACACATACATGTGTGTGTATGTATGCCTTTGTCATTATCTGCGTTTTGTTCATTTGATGTAGATTCTACCTGATATGATCACCAAGCACTCAGACTGTTTTATAAGATATTTGGTTTATCGCTAGATTTGATAGGTACTGATTAGAAAGATAAAATATATGCACAAAGTCACAAAGAAAAAACATTGATATTTCACTGAAAATAGTTATTTTTCTAGATTTTATCTGTATAAAACACAGTATCTTTTTTGCTTGTGTGCAGAATTATCTGCTTCCATTGAAATGTTCCAATACACTGTGTAAAACCGCTCGGCTTCAGCTTAATTTTCACAACCCTTACCCACAAGGAGTCTGGATAGGACTACAAAGCAGAGGGCTCCGGTTCCCTTATATACAAGTCTCAGACAACTCTACTTACCAAGAATGTGAAATCGAGCCAAGCGGTAACACTACAGTTACAGACGCGTCCTGTCTGAGCTAATGGGTTTAGTCAGTTGCAGGATGTAAGATTTTTCCTGTGATGGAATTGTTACAACTGATGAGTAGAGGATTTTAGAAGTGCGACCATTTGACCCCGTTACGTTAAGGACCAAATCTCTCTGCAAATGCAAATTTTTTAAACAGGACTAAAATAAACAGTTGCACATTCTATGCAAGGATTTATATATATAACACACACACATACTGTATATACATATATATATATATATATATATATATACATATATATATATACATATATACATACATACATACATACACTTATATATATATATATATATATATATATATATATATATATATATATATATATGGGGTGTATGTAAATTTATTTATTTATGCGCGTATGTGTGTGTAATATGTATGTATGTATATGGACGCAAACACAACAACGTATACACACAGTTTGAAACGGAAAATATCTACAAATAAAAAATGACATTGAATTGTAAATCTTTAATAGTTCAGACGAGTGAATAACCAAAATTGATATAGATTTCAATCTGTTCATCAGATAAAAAAGTTGCTATTTAATTTCACTTCTTATTGTCGCTGTTTTCCGTTTCCTAAAACACACACACATATATGTGTATGTTTACATATATGTATATATGTATATCTATTTATCTACCTATTTATATATATGTATATGTATGAATACATATATGTACATATATACATACCCATATATATATATATATATATATATATAATATATATATATATATATAAAATATATATATATATATTATATATATAATATATATATATATATATATATATATATAATATATATATATATATATATAATAATATATATGTATATGTGTGTGTGTGTGTGTGTGTGTGTGTGTGTGTGTGTGTGTGTGTGTGCGTGTGTGTATATAATGTACACACACACACTCACACACACACACACATGCACACACATTATACATGTAAATGTGTGTGTTTGTGAGTTTGTATCATATATATAATCAATAAATATATATACATATGCATGTATATACATTTATATTTATATAGTGTGTGTATGTGTGTGTTGTGTGTGTGAGTGTGTGTGTGTACATTTATACACACACACTCTCTTACACACACCACACACACAGATATATAATATAGTAATATATAATATATATATAATAATACCTGTATAAATTATAATAATACATATAACTAATGTATATATGTATATTTTATAATAATCAAATATACATATATAATATATTATATATATAAATACTTAATTAATACATATGATAATTATATAAATAATATATATGAGATATAATAAGAATATAAATATACCTACATATATAAATATATATATAAATAAACATATATATACATAATATATAATCACTGATGTGTTATATAATGATTATTATATACTATAATGCATAATATATATATATATATTATATAATTAAATATAAATATATTATATAAATCATATATTATAATATAATATATATATATTATATAACTATAATATAATATATACTACTATACTTATAATATATATATTATAATTATAATAGATAATGTTGTGTGTGGTGTGTGTGTGTAGTGTGTGTGTGTGTGGTGTGGGTGTGTGTGTGTAGTGTATAATGTACACACAATCACACTCACGACAATTCACACACACAACAAAAAACACATATACACACATATAACATGTAAATGTGGTGTGTGTGTGTTACTGTATCATGATAATAATAATCAATATATCATATATAATGATAATATATATATATATTAATATAAAATATATAATATACACATATACATTATTAATAATTTATACATATGTACAGTATACTCAATATGCACCATACATGCATTTTGCATATATATATAAATATATTATAAATAATACTAAAATATATACTATATAATATATAATATTATAGTATATAAAATATATAATTCACGTACATACATGCATAATATAGTATATATAAAGTAAATTATATATATAAATACTAAATAATTAATAATATAACATATATATGTATATTATAATATGTTAACATATATAATATGTTAATTAAGATATATTTATAATATATAACATATATATAAGCATACGACACACAGCCACACACACACACCACACACACACACATCCATTTAATATAATATATAATATATATATATAATATATAATAATACTATATAATAAACTATATACCTCAATAAAACCACAAACAGACACACACACACCACACACACAAACATAACACGCACACACCCAGATATATATATATAATATAAAAAGTAATAACTAATTAGTATATACTACATAATATATAATAAGATAAAATACTATATAAAATAATTATATATATATAATAATAATAATAAATAAATATATAATAATATATACTAACTATAAAAACTATATTAGTATAAACACACTGATGTGTGTACGTGGTGTGTTAGTGTGTGTGTGTGTGATGTCGATGTGTTTGTGCGTGTGATTTGGTGTACCTGAATTGCATATATTATATATATATATACTATGAATATTATATAATATATTATACATATATATATATATTACATACCATAAATGTACTCATGTACAACACATTACATGCACACACACACAATATACATATACAGATAACATATATAAACAATATATCAGCAATGATAAACAACAATAATAACAATAATAAAACATATTTGTGTAAAGTGTTATACATATATATGATTACGCAAAATATACAGGTATATGAAAAATTCACACAAACATGTACTTTTATCAACCTGTCTACCTCTTTCTATGTATGCAGGCAAGAAGGGGAATGGATCAAAGCGAAGATTAAGTAATGAGAAGCCCTGAAATGAAGAGAATCTTTCTATGTTTCTCGACGGCGGCGCCGAAAGGACAAGGGGTGGCGGGGCTGCACCTGCTCCTGCTAACTCACCATTCAATTGTATGTGTTGCCGAAGCCACTTTGGCAGGTATGCTGTGGTAAATGTTTTAGATTGTATGATTTTATTTTAAAGACAGTCTGATTTCGCTGAAAATGCATAAATCCCCATCAGTGCTATTACAAACAGGGCTATTGTTGACAGTTGCATTATTTGCTTAGGCTTATGATTCTGATAACAAGTTTAGAATTTTTCGCAGTACTTGTAACACATTTGACATGCAGAAAGCAGACAAGCGTCTGAAAAGCATTGCTTAGAAAGACTCAAAGATTTGTACTTATATGAATACAAAGCCCACGATACACACATCTACACCCATAAGTATGACATAGCTGTCTTGCAACAATTTAGCATTTGTATTTGGGCTCAACCTCAAATTCTCGGTAAGTAAGGGGTGTGTGTCTTTGTCTTGTATATAAGCAAGAGAAACAACCACAACGTTGCTAGTCCCTTCCAGACTCCAAGCGTTTGTTGTGTTACTGTGGTCTTATCCGGTTCCAGTGTTTTGATACTGAGTCGATATGAAAGAGATTACTAGTGAAATACCGACAGACCTATTTCAATAAGTGTTAAGGATAAATCCTGAAGTTGGTTAAAAAAAAGACCCACAAAGTTTAGTCGTTTCTCTTGGAAGTAGTAGAATCCGTAAGATTTTTTTTTTTTTTTTTTTTTTTTTTTTTTTTTTTTTAGAAAATAGATATAATAATATGCTAATTTCAAGTAACTTTCACTTTAAAACCGTTGCAAATGAGATCATTTACAAATCGTAACTTTGCTGTAGGCGTTACAATTTTGTATCGCATGGCTTGTCATATTGCCGTTTCTTTCTATATTATTATTTATGTATGTTCTTTCAAAAGTAATATTGATGAACCCTGTTCATGGGCGACAAATGCAGAACAGATATGGAGAATGAATTTTTCACGGTGTAAGATGTGAATTTAATTTATTTCTATTTTATCTTCGTCAGCAAAACTTGTATTTATGAGGATATAATCGAAAACGGTAAAATAAATCTCTTGCACTGTGAATGTATTGATTTTCATCACATCATTTCCATTAAACATATAATTCAACATAATTTATAACAAAAGAGTTTAATCTTCTTTCAGTGATAGTTATTTGAAAGGACTTTGGTACCTAAATAACCATATGCCTTATGTATTTTCATATAAATATTTGTGAATTCTTTATAATATATTATATATATATATATATTATATATATATATATATATATATATGTATGTGTGTGTGTGTGTGTGTGTGTGTGTGTGTGTGTGTGTGTGTGTGTGTGTGTATGTATAGTAATCAGTTTCCCCTTTTCTAGGAATTTGACAAAAACCACCAAAACATCATGTGTGACGACGAGGACCAGTGTGCGCTTGTGTGCGACAATGGCTCCGGCATGGTCAAGGCCGGCTTCGCCGGAGACGACGCCCCTCGTGCCGTATTCCCCTCCATCGTCGGCCGTGCCCGTCACCAGGGTGTGATGGTCGGCATGGGTCAGAAGGATGCCTACGTCGGTGATGAGGCCCAGAGCAAACGTGGTATCCTCACCCTCAAGTACCCCATCGAGCACGGTATCATCACCAACTGGGATGACATGGAGAAGATCTGGTACCACACCTTCTACAATGAGCTCCGTGTTGCCCCTGAGGAGTCCCCCACACTTCTCACCGAGGCTCCCCTCAACCCCAAGGCCAACCGTGAGAAGATGACTCAGATCATGTTCGAGTCCTTCAGTCTTCCTGCCATGTACGTGACCATCCAGGCCGTGCTTTCCCTGTACGCCTCCGGTCGTACCACTGGTCAGGTTTGCGACTCCGGTGACGGTGTGACCCACATGGTCCCTGTCTATGAAGGTTTCGCTCTTCCTCATGCTATCCTTCGTCTCGATCTTGCTGGTCGTGATCTTACCAACTACCTGATGAAGATCATGACTGAGCGTGGCTATTCCTTCACCACCACCGCTGAACGTGAAATCGTCCGTGACATCAAGGAGAAACTCTGCTACATCGCCCTTGACTTCGAGAGTGAGATGAACGTCGCTGCTGCTTCCTCTTCCTTGGATAAGTCCTACGAACTTCCCGACGGTCAGGTCATCACCATCGGCAACGAGCGTTTCCGTGCTCCCGAATCTCTGTTCCAGCCTTCCTTCCTTGGTATGGAATCTGCTGGTGTTCAGGAGACTGTATACCAATCGATCATGAGATGCGACATTGACATCAGGAAGGACCTGTTCGCCAACATCGTCATGTCTGGTGGTACCACCATGTACCCTGGTATTGCTGA